ACAGTTCTCTGGCAGCTTGGCATCTGCTCTGTTGSTGAATCTTACAGCCTGTTTTTCTTGTATGACTATTGCTTTTACAGTATTCTTACACACGATGTTATTGCATGCAATGTGTTGTTCCAGAACTCTACTTTCTGTTACTTTTACATGCATTTTTATTCTATTTTATAGGCCCGTTAGCTGTGAAGGCTTTTATCCTCCACCTGTGCCCCCAAGAGGTCGCTGAACGTCTCAACATCTGTGGAATATGAATTTTTTTTCTGTCTATATATGTGTTTGTACAGATATTTTTGGGCTGTCTTAAATTATTTGTAAGTGGGACCCAAATATTTTAATCCCCTTTATCCTCCCTGAAGTTCTGGTGACTTTTCCCATGATTTTCACTGGTACTTCTTGGCATTCTATAACTTCGTTTTAGTTGGAAGAATTTTGRTGTTTTGGGGCTTCTAGAAAAGGTCATCATTGGGAAGAACACTGGTGTGTGTCTCGGGAGCCCTGCACCAACATGAAGTTGCCTTTTGATCAAGAAAGCACACATGTCCTTTTAGGAACTAAATCCTGATAAGAATTGTTACCAAACTTCAGTACAGTCTACCAGGGCTTGACTGGAAAAATATGCTTGAAAAAGTAAAACAAACAAGTTGTTTAAAGAATGCTCATTATAGCTGGAGGTGAATGTACTACTACTTGGCATAACATTTTGGATACAGTTATACTGACCTTTTAGAAGGTGTGGCATACCTCTCTAGCAATCATGAAATCATGGGGGGATGAGAAATTGTCTGTCTTCAAGAATGTATTTTGCATACAGCCTTGAAAATGCCTTTCCTTTTCCTGTTCCCTCCCTGAAGAGCACAGACAAGGTAYTGAGTGTGCTGTATGTACCATGAAAATTCCCAAGGCAGCTGGTAAGGGACCTTCTGTATCACAAACCAAGTGTACTTAAAACCTTTTTCAGGGAGGGTGTGGGTATGGTGCTACCAAATCACGTGACTGAGCTCTCAAGTTGGAGAAGGAATTGGTGGCAGTGCCRTGTTTTGTATCACTTACATGTGGTCATTATAGCAGCAATATGGAGGTGTTTCACTTCATACTCTGGGACAGTACAGTGAGTCTCCAATTATCRGTGCACACACCTCACAAATACCAGCTATGTTTTAGCTGGCTGCAGTGGAAGCAGACAACCTGGGGGGCTGGGCAGTGCTTGCTCTAATGTTCCTTTCTACCAATGTGGATCTGCAACAGCTATGTCCAGCCTTTTTTTCTGCCCGAGGGCTTACACACTTAGGGAGGCTTCCTGGTTTGGCTCCCTTCCAGACCTTGAAATCTTCTGTGCAAATCCTGACCCYTGGGGGACAAGTTTAAGGCTCTGGTTGTCCATGAGTGACACAGATGGGAATTCTGCAAGATAACATTCAGGATAGAGACTTAAGCATCATTACCTATTTGATTTTCAGGGCTCGAAGAGGGGGAATGGCTTGAAAAAGACATAGATACATTTGTATTAGGTGATCCCTCAGATACAGGTAGGACATGTAGAGCTTCCCTGTCCARTCATGTCAGCTCCCCTCCATCTGTAGCAGAGCAGGTGACAGACAGAGTTGCAGTTCCTTTCTCTTGCAGGGTGGCAAGCCCAAGATGTGATGCTGGAGGAGTGACAGCAACTGTGATTTGACCAGCACCATGTGAAGATGGAGAAGCCCCTGCTGCTTTCAGGGATATAAACATGCTAAATATCATCTATGCRTTAAACTAATAGGGTGTGACTCCAAATACACTTCATACACCCTCTCCTTTTGATGATAGAGGGATGCAGGTGTTGGYGCTGCAGATCTATAGAAAGTATCCTTTCTGTTTTGCTTTTTTCGGTTTTTAAAGGAAAGTTCAATGCTGTCTCCAGTAACTCTGGCACTATGGACTCTCAATGAGTTTGCTTTTGTTCACAGTAGTCAGGGGAATGGTGAGAGCTGCCTTCCTGTGCTCTTCTTGGAATAAAACAAGGTTTCCAGCACTATTAGCTCAAATTGGCAGGAGGGAAGGAGTTTCTGGTGCTGAAGTGAGGAAAATAGTAGCAAGGATAAGTGAAGAAATTAGGGATAAATGAAATAAGCCAAAAAGAAACTCAGCTGCTTGATTGTTTTCAGCTGTCACATGTGATTTGGTTTGCATATAGATCCCTGSTTTTGCTCAAAAATTCCCCATCTTCTTGGTGCTGACTGCAGCTGTGCCCCAGAGCTTGAAGCTGTGATGTGGTAAGAGGAATTTACCTGCTTCTACATCTGCCAGGTACAACATRAAGTAGAATTGGAGGATATGAGTARAACTGTAATAAGRCAGGAAAGGAAGAGCACAATATAGAAGTGTATCAWGCAGATTCCCTTTCAATGCTGTTGGACTGAAGCAGCCCAGGGATCCATCTTTCCAAGCTAATTTTTAATTCTGTCTCCCCTCATGTTATGGCCAAATGTCCTTTGCAGGAGGGATTTACCTGAGCATTTGCCTTTGCACATTCCTAACATCCTAGCTGTGTACTACATTGTTCCTGCTTSTGCTGTGGAGAGATGGTAATACCTGAATTGCTGAAAAGTAGCTCATCAGTAGCCTTTCAGTCCCTCTCCCATTTGAAGCTTAGACACTTCTTACTTTGACCTAACCTGTCATATGAAGCCAAATGCCGGTGGGGCTCTGGTTTGGAGAAGAGRGGAGCTGGGACAAGGGGAGCTGAGACATCCTATAAATGCATTCTGTTCAAGATCTTTCTGCACTGTTCAAGGGAGCAAAATGGAAGATGCAGCTGTAGTCTCAGGCATTCCTGTCTCACTGCTKCTGCATTATTGAGGGATCTCAGTGACCAACAATCTGCAAAACTGTCACCCTGTGGAGGAGAAAAGGAACAGCACTAAAATGGCTTTACTGTTAGATGTAGAGAAACAATTAGGACACAGGTATGACTTCCAAGTCTCTTGCAGGCCAACAGAGATGCACCTGCTTAGCCACCAAAGTATGTTCCACATAGACTGGATTCATCTAGTTGCTTTAAGCCTCTTAATGAGTGTAGTTCCTGTTATCTGTAAACKTCATTTGTGCTGGTGAGCATGTGGTGTGTGTTGCTTCCACCCAGGATGAGAAGTGCACTGAAACTCAGAAGAGACCAGAGAAGAAAACCATGTGCAAGCAGATTGCCAATTACTCAAGAATGTGCTTGGGAGGGGAGGTGGGAATGAAGAGTGTTTCTGATGCATGTTTGAGTTCACGGATTGAACAGATAATAAAATTGCTGGTAAAAACTTAAGTGCCTGGACAATTGTAGGGCCATCAACCAATCCACCAAACTCKGGTGGCAGGTGGCAGCTGGCAGGCCTGCAAAAAGTGTTTGTTCTTTGTACAGCATGCCTTGCAAACCCTGCTGCAGCAGATGGCTCTGGCTGGCCCTCTTGCTGACTGAGAGACTTAAGTACTGAATAAACTGAAGATACTGAAGTCYCCTCTGTTTGTCTCCCAAGGGTAAGCTACTCCATTTTGGACTGAGATGCAATGACTGGAAAGAAACATATGGTGTTATCAAAGCTGTCTAGGTTTTCTTTTTTTCAGTCTGTATGTGTAAGATAAGCCTGGCTTTTACGTGGGTTTTGGCAAGTATCTCCCTATAGGGACCTTGCTTCTACTGAAATAGTGCATTTAGCATCACCTGACTCTCTGGGAAAGGCTTCATGTAAATGTATTTTGTGAAGTATGTTCAGGGAAGGTAGACTGAATGTGTAAAATCACAAGGGGAAAACCTTTTAGCAAAGGTATGGTGTTAGCAGGGAAATTTATTTTCTGCATTGTTCCTRCAACACATGGATGATATGTAACAGCATGGACTTCCTGCCTTCTGCTCMTGGTCTTTGTTTGCTTCTTTGTTGGCTCACTTTATTTGAGATGATATAGCCCTCCTTTTTTAAGACTATATGTGATAGCCTTTGGAATTTTTTACTCTATTTGTTTGATTGATCAGACAACTTTTTAACTAATGTTCAATACCATGAGCTTTTTGGATTGGGGATTTTGTTTGGTTTGGGATTTTTTTTCCTTTAGTGTTGTAATTTAAGGTAGTTCCAAGTTAGGAGGCAGGTTTGTGGGCTTTGTGTTAGCCAGCACTGACATCCTTACCCCTGGGCAAGGCCCGGGTGCGGCTGTGCTGCCTCAGCGCCTGCCCTGGGCCCCTGCAGCTCCTTGTGCTCCTGCAGCTTGTGCGAGGGGTGTAGAGAATGGGACGGTGCATTTCACAGAATCGATGAACTTACAAAAGACAGCTGAGACTGTCGAGTCCAACCTATGACTGAACACCACYKTRTCAGCTGGACCGTGGTACCAAGCGCTATATCCAATCTTGCCTTAAACACCTCCAAGGCCAGTGACTGCATCGCCGTAGGCAGCTTCTTCCAGTGTTTAAWCACCCATTCCGTGAAGAAATTGCGCTTAGTGTCCGAGCTTGATGTTTTGTTGTCCTGTCACTGGTTGCCTGGGAGAAGAGACTGAGCCGTACCTGGCTACAGCCTCCTTTCAAGCCCCGGTAGAGAGTGATAAGGTCTCCCCTGAGCYTTCTCTCCAGGCTCCACAACCGCAGCGTCCTAAGCTGGTCCCCCCAGGCCTTGTGTTCCTGGGGGTGTTTCCACACCGCCCTGCATCGCGTCCTTCCCGAGTGTCATCGATCAAAATGCAATATCAATGACAATTCCATCACGGAAGAACGGAGCTTCCTGCGCTCCTGCAGGAGTCCGTGGTGCCTTCCAGACCCGCGGGGTGGCGGCAGGCCGAGTCCCGCCCGCCCGCGCTCCGTGCCCGCGGCTTGGTGCCGCCCGCCCCGCGGGGCTCCCGTAGCGCTCCCGCAGCGCCCCCGCGGTTCCGGCGGGCAGGCGGGTGACGTGGCGGGCGGGGCGGAAGTGGCGTCGGC